GAGGTCAGGGAGGCGAATACCGAACAGAACAATATGGCACCGGGGGTCTCGGAGGTGACATCATGGGGTTGTCTCCGATGTTTCTGGAGGCCCCCGGGTCCCCGGTAGCCCCCAGAACTCCCCGCGGAGGTCTTCAAAGCCCGATTGGCTCAACAAGCCCAAAACATCGGTACTGTAGGATGGATGGGCCGATGGGTGCGAGTAAGACACAGCTGCTGTGCATCGAGATTATGGGTGGGCCGATGGATGCGACGAAGACAAAGCTGCTACGCATCGAGATTCTGCATCCGCCAGCCCCACCCACGCGCCGCCAAAGCCATTGCCTGTGCATGGGATATCCTGCAACAGCCGCGGCATGCCAAGAGGCAAGGACTGTGTGGGCACCGGCCATCTGGCCCGTGGCAGGCGAGAGGCGCGGGGAAATCCCAGCACGGCGGCCGCAGTATGCCCGCGACGCGAGCTGCGCAGCGCCCCCCGCGCGAGAACAGAGGCGCGCGAGAGGGAGCGGCGCAACCAGCGCAGCCGAAAGTCGCGCTCGCTTTCGCCGCAGGGCGGCGGTGAGAGGCGGCCGCGCGAAGATCCACCCCGGAGGCGACCTTCGGCTGACGTCGGGCCGCGGCGCCGAAGAGGATCGCGGCGCCTGCCGCCCCAGAGGTGGCGGGCAGAGAAAACGGAGGCTGGAACACAGGGCAGGGAGGAAGGAGGAGCGGCGAGGGAGGGCAGAGAGAGGCCTTTGTTCTGCAGGGGGTGGGAAGAGAAAGAGAGAGGCCTTTGTTGGCAGCATTCAAGATGCCAGACAACACGGCTCCTTCGGGGGTGGGAGGAGAAAAGGAGGGGGTGGAGGAGGAGCGGGGAGGAACTGGAGGAGGAGGGTGGAGGGAGACCGTTGCCAATTCAAGTTCTACACGACGCAGGAGGGGGACGGGCGGAGGGCGTCGGAGGGAGGAGGCCGGAGGAGGCGAGGAGCGGAGGGAGGAAGCGAAGGAGGCACGAGGCAGGGCCGTTTCGGCCTGGTCGGCCTCGAGCCTCTTGGCCTCGAGGTCCGTGCAGAGGCTCGCCGCAGAGGAGGGGGCGCACAGCTTTTTCTGGGCGGTCGGCGTCCGGGGAGAGGAGGCGGGAGGAGGCAGGAGGCACGAGAATGAGGGCGTCATGCGCCTTCGAAGTGCCACGGCGGGGCGACGGCCTCCGGCGCTGCGGGCCGCGCCACCCCCCGCGCGGCGGCGTCGCGCGCGCGGCGTCTGCCGAGCCGACGCCCCCCCGCAGACGCCGCCGAGGGCGCACGCCTGCCGCCCGGCACGCCGCGCGCGCGCCCGCGCGCGCGCGCAAGGCGGCGCCGAAGCGCCGAGGGCCCGTGGGGCGAGCTCGAGGCCGGCGAGCCCGCACGGCCACGGCCAGGCGAGCCGCGTCCGCGGTCCCCAGGGCGCGAGCGCCAGCGCGAGCCTGTACGCGGGAGCCCTCCAGCACGACCCGAGCAGTGCGACGAGGGCCGACGCAGGCTGCGTGCCATCGGCGGAACTGGATGGGGCCCACACGCACACATACACGTTGGGCTAACACACGCTCTGAAGATCCTCAACTGTGCGTGCCCCTCTGTCCCGTATCCACGATCTCTCGGGAGGTGCCGAAGCCAATGGGGGGGGGCCGAAGCCGATGGGCCACCGAGGGGGGTCGTCAAGGAATACTGCCCTCCTGGTTCAGGCTGGCCCGACGCCAGCACGGACATCCAGGTCGGTGCTGGCGAGATCCGGCTGGCCGACCATTTCCTGGAAGTCCTTCTAAGAGTCTGCCATCTGTCGGCGGTGGAAAAACCTCCCTATCGTAAACCTCCCCTCAGTGACCCTGGCCTGGGACCAAAACCGACGGATCTAGACCCGCAAAAATGACGGCCGCCACGCCCTCTCGCGAACCGAAAACGGCCAGTTCCTCCATCGACGTGTCAGGGTAGGAGGTCCAGCCACCTCCGAATCTTGAGCCTACGCGGGCATCCGGGCCTCCCTGGAAGCCTCCCGAGGGACCTCCTCGGACCTCTGGGGGAACCTCCGGAGGCCTCCAGGGAACCCCTGGGGACCTCCGCGGGGCCCGTCGAGCTCGACGCGACCCGAACCTTGAGCCCTGTCAAGGACGTGGCCGAGCCCTCGGCAAATCGAGGTGCGCCAGTCCCAAACCACAGATCCACACCCTGAAGCCGCCCTCTTCCCCCTCCGCGCTCACCCTCATCGTCCCCCATCCCCCATCTGCCCCGGCGACTTGGAGGACGACCCAGCCGTAGCGACAAGAAGCCTCCCAGAGACAGAAGAACGCCAGAAAACAAAAACATTGCTCCTCCTCCTCTTCCTCCTCCTCCTCCTCCTCCTCCTCCTCCTCCTCCTCCTCCTCCTCCTCCTCCCCTCCACCACCACCACCCTGGCCCTCGTTTCCCCCACCCGCAGCTGGGGCGGCTGGCCTGGGTGAAGGCGCGGCAGATTCGCGTCTTTCTAAGATCGGGCATTGCTTGGAGCTCCTGGCGGCGTCGAAACAATAACAACAACAATAATCGCTGCTTTGCGTGGAAATCCGCGTGGTATGCTCCTCACTGGTCTGCCCCCCCCAAGCCATGCCCCCGCCCCCCCCCGGCCCCGACCTTTGCCAAGGCGAAGAAGGCGCTTGAACGAGGCATGTGCGAAACCATAGCACAGAGACTATCCAAAATCACCAAACACATGATCTCGCGTGCACCTATATATGTACACAACATGTTCTACTAGAACATGGAACACACGACGTGCAGATGCGTACTGCGTGCACAAACAACACTGGCAGAGTGCCCAGCCCCATATGCGGCAGCGTGTACCATGGGATATGCTTCTGCGGGTCGTTCCGGCCGGCCCGCAATTGTTGAAGCGTCGCATTGTATGTGGAACGATATTGAAGAAGTACGTTCCCGGTCAGCGTGGCTCAATTCGTCCGATGTCACCAGTGCCGTAGTTCGTTCAAAACATTGAGACCGCAGCGGTATAGGAGTCGTGGTCGGAGCCAGGATTCGGTTGCGGATTTGTGCGCAAAGGATGTCACGAAGTGAAGTTTCAGTGGGCCCCTCCTCAGCCGCTCCGCGCGCCGCGGGGGGACGGAGCTCGGGCCGTGCGGGCAGCGCAGGCCGCGGCCCGCGCACAGGTGCCGCCGCCCCCCTCCCCCCAGGGCCAGAGCGCGGACGACAGGGGACGCACAGGCGCAGCGACGTCGGACGGAGCGGGAGCAGGAGGAGCAGCAGCAGCAGCAGCAGGAGGAGCAGGCCCAGGGGGACTACTGGGGGTACGTCGGGCGCGTCCCTCTCGCCGTCGCTCGGACGTCCATTCCCTGTGTTTTTGTTTCGGTGTCGTGCGTGGTTTTTGGGCAAACGGTCAAGGATGCTCCTCGATGGTCCTCGCCGAGGAAAAAACGCACACGGCCGAGCGATGCCAGGCCCTCTACTGGAAGAATATTCTAAGATAGACGAATGAAATAATAGTCTGGTGGCGAATTTCCAAGGCATCTCCAAAATACTCCAACAACAAAAAATCTGGTAACTTTGCCTCGGGCCGCGGAGGGAGCCGCGCGGGGTGCAGAGCGAGGAGGAGGAGGAGGAGGAGGAGGAGGAGGAGAAGGAGGAGGAGGAGGAGGAGGGAGGAGGAGGAGGAGGAGAAGGAGGAGGAGGAGGAGGAATAGGAGGAGGAAGGAGGAATAGGAGGCGGAAGAGGGGGGGGCGCCGAGCGAAGGCAGCCGAGGAGCAGCACAGCCGAGGCCCGACAGACGCGCGAGGACACCGCTCCGCGCTAGGCGGCGTGCCGAGGCGGTCGGCCGCGGTGCCGCCCTGCGGGCAGGCGCTGCCTCGGGCCGACAAAGAAAGTCCTCGCGGAGGGGCGTGCCGAAGGGGGCACGGTCCCGCCGTCACTCGGACGACCGAGTTTTTTCGGTTTCGTTTCGTGTTTCGTGGTCCTCCTCCTCCTCCTCCTCCTCCTCCTCCTCCTCCTCCTCCTCTTCCTCCTCCTCCTCGGAATCGGAAGTCGTGCATGTGTCGGTTTCATGCGTGTTTCTTTTTGTTGCTCGTTGGTCGAGGATGGTCCTCGATGGTTCTCGCCGAGAAAAAAATGCACACGTCCGAGCGATGCCAGGCGGTGCGGGCCAGTTGGACCCTGCAACAGGTGACCAAGAAAAAAACACATCCCCAGCCCCAAAATCGCGGATTCACAGAGGAGGATTCGAAGATCGGCCAAAGATTCCGGGGCATGGTTTGCGCTCGTCGCTGTCACCCTGGTAAAACCCTGAGCCCAAAAATCTCCCTCCCCGAAGTCTCGAGGAGCCTGCGTTCTGTCTTGGCCCTCGCGTTTTTGGTATTGGGCGTCTGTTTGGGGTTTGTGAACTGGGGCATCAGGCAGTAGGGGCCAGCATCAGATCGGGAAGCTGGATCGAAATCGAAATGCGGTCATACCTGTGGAAGTCGGGGATGAGTAAACGATAGCCGCATCGGCTCGGGAATCAGACACCGGAGCTCGAATCGGAATCGATGCGGGAAGAACTTCGGCAGCCAGATCGATGCGAAACGGGCCAGGGGTCGCGTCGAATCGGACCAGATCCGAATTCCCAAGACCCCTTCGGAGCCCGCTCGGAGCTTCTGGACCAGGCCCAGACGGGGGCGAGAAAGCCCACGAGACCTGCCGCTCGCGCGGCCCCGCCCGTCCACGCGAAGCCCTCCTGCCCTCCTCGTCGCTCCCTCGTCCTTCCTTCCTCCTCCCCCCTCCCCCTGTGGGGTTTGGGGTGGCTGGTTCGCTTATTTAGCCCGCTCAACGAGATGGACGATGGCCCGTTCGAGCACAACCTCAACACGCCGCCGCAGGTCCCCGACAGGCCTCCAGATGCATTCAATGCGGGCGCACCGGCACCTGAACCTGAGGCACGCCCACCAGCGTCACACGAGGTCGCATACCTATTCAGGCAAGAGGTCCAACCTCTGCGGACTGCCATCGAAAGCCTTGGGAATCGCCTCGACGCGAGGATGGCAGAGGTGGATGAGCGAATGGAGAACGTAGAGATCCGCATCGCCTACGTGGAGAATCTGGAGGCCCCCAAGTTTCCACCGAACGCCCACGAGGATGTCATGAACCACATCAAGGCGTTAGAGATCGAGATCGCCGAGCTGAGGAGCGCCGCTGGCTCCATTGGCTCCATCGGCTCCACTGCCACCACTTCCAAGCAAGAGACCTCCGTATTTGGCAATCTTCTCGGATTTAGCGGCCAGGCGGAGGCAGAGACATGGTTGAAAGACCAGCTCTGGTGGTGCAATGCCCCGGCCGCCGACGAGTTCTACTCAAAGTGAAACTTCTCGGGCAATCTCTTCGGCAAATTTGCCTCCACGGCCGGTCGAAACTCTGCAACATCAAAGCTCCGAGCCGCGCGAGTTTATTTGGAGGACAAGCCCCTGGGCAAAGGTGGATGCTCCTCTCGAAGTCCGGGTGGCCCGGTCCGTTCTGTGTGGCGCGAAAAGGCTGTTCGTCCTGTGGTCCCGGAAACGGGCACGGTGAAGGTGGGGCCCGACACCGTGATCGAGGCGAGCGTGGCGACGGGAGCGTCGAACATCACGCACGGCGACGGTTGGGAGCAGCATCTCAGCGCAGGTCCAGAGTGGCAAGGGCTCCTGAAGTCACACTCTGACAGACAACCTGCGCGGCGTCACGTGCGAGGGCAGCGGCAAAAGGGGCAAAGGCTGTAGCAAGCCATAACAGCAACAGCGAGCTGGAGAGCTGGTTCGCCCCCCACCTGCCCTGGCAGCTGCAGACGGTCGCAGCTGGGGACAACGCTGGTCGAGGGGTACAGGAAACGTTTCACCAAAATTCAATGTTCATTTTAAGTTCAACGCTTACGGCAAAAACGCACGTGTACATACTCTTGATTGGCTAGGGCTTTTGCTTGGGAAGCTTTCGGATCTAACGTGGGATGTTGTTTGTTTGAGTGAGACCCGTGCAACGTCAGATCAGATTGACCTCGACGGGGGTCAAGGCTTCACAGCGGCACCGGGCTCGACCAGATACGCTTGGTTGGCTATCTGCTTATATGCGCGACACACGAGAGGTGTCACAGCCACGCGTTCGCGTTTTGGCCGCGTGCCTGCAGTAGACATTAGTATCAATGGCGTTGCTTGCACGCTCTTTTCTGTATACATGCCACACGCGGGATGCCCGCATGCCGATGTACTCGATGTTGCTGCACTCGTTTACAGCAGGAGGTCGATGTTGCTAGGAGGCGACGTCGAAAAATATGCATCACCGGTGATTCTAACACCCAGGTTCCCTCTGGAGAAAGAGGGCGCCTACTGCCAACATGTTGTTTCGAGAAGGGCCTCGAGGCCAGCAGCGTGCAGCACGCGCCCGATTCGTGGAGTGTTCGAAGCTCGCTTGGTGCCAAGCGGGTTTTTGGCGAGATCTTTTCTTCGGATGCTTGCCTTGAGCCATACCAGCAATGGCATGATCTCTCACAGTAAACCTGCTGGGGGTCTCTGGATTCCTGCAGCCCCCTTCGTGCCGCCTAGCTCTTCAGCCAGGCACGATACTCGAATCCTGAAAAGCTCCGAAACTCATTGTCAATACACAGCGCTCTGGACCACGACGTTGGTCGAGCACTGCAATCAAAGTACACGCAATAGCCGCGCTGACGGCCGTAGCCCGTCCAAGGCAATGACAGCGCGGAGCGAAAGACTGCAGGCCGAAATGGCCAAGCCAAAATGGCCGCTCGTGCCCCTGGTTCAGACCTTCGCCTGAAGGGCACTCGAAAGGGGCGCGTCCGAGAGCTTGACACTCATCATCTCCAGCCCTCGGAGCATCGCCGCCTGGTCGAGGAACTTCGTCCCCAGGTCCGCCGGGTTCGACTTCCCGGGAACCTTGGCCAGTTGAAACCGTCCGTCCTTGAGCGCCTTCTGCACCCACAGCGTCGGCGTCTCGAGGTGTCGGACTTTGCCGCAGCCTCGTCGTTGCATGATGCCAAGAGCAGCTGCCGAGTCGCTCCAGATGCGAAGGCTCACGTCCCTGCCTAGGCCCTGGCACAGCGACTGCATGCCGATGGCCCTGCTGGCCGCTCGCACACAGCCGTAGAACTCAGCCTCCCCCGAACTCATGGAGATGGGGATCTGAGTCGTCGGTGCCGTCACGATCAGGTGCTGCCCATGTTTGATCACGACTGAACTGGTGCTCCTCCGCGTGATCGGGCAGCCTGCCCAATCGGTGTCTGAGTAGATGTCCATCACTGTGGGTGCCCGCTGTCGGCCCCACTTCCAGATGGCCCGCGGCGCCCCGATCAAGAAGCGTCCAGCGCGCTTCAGGAGGCGGAGGTGTCGCTCTGTCGGCTTCTGCATGCCGCGAGCGCACTCCTTGGCCGTGAACTGCACCTCTGGCCGATCGAGCGCCAAGTAGCCCAGCCTCATGCACGCACTGCGGTACTCTGCCGCCCCGTGCTCGCTCAGCTCGCACTCGACCTCAGGTGTAAGCTTCTGGCTCA